AGGACTGCGCGGCAGCGGGCGCGGTGGCCCTCGACCTCGTCAAGTACTGCGAGTGCGTCTCCTGCGACATCCTGCCGCTGGAAGCGCGAGCCGCGGGTGAATCGCTACCATTGGTGAAGGCGCTGTGCTGCGCCTGCCACCTGCCCGGGCGCGCGTGTCTCGCGGGCGCGCTTGGGGTCGCTATCGGGGCCAACGGCGTGATCGGCGCCGCTTGCTCGTGCGCCCTGGGGCTCGCGAAGCTGAGGGCGGGTGTCCTCCTGGCGGGCGAGGCGCAGCGATCCCCGCTAGCGCGGGCGCAGTCGCTGGTGGACGACGTGCTGCTGCAAACGCCCAGTGCGAGCGACCTGACGGCCATCCAGCTCCCCGTCGCTCTGCGATTCGTCGTGTTGGGCCTGCGGGCTCAGAGGTGAAAGATCGACCGGCGCCAGACGGGCCAGCTCGCGGGCTGCCTCCGGCCTGCCTGGGGCGGGCCGGTCGAGAGAAGCCGAGGCGCGAGTTGCCCCGAGGGCGGCGGCTCCGACGGCGTCTCGGGAGATCGGTGACCGAGCAGGATATGCGTCCAGCGAAGGCGCGCGGCCACGCGCGTCCGCGTGCTGAGGGGGGCGGGTGCTGCAGTGGAGCGCATCTACATAACCTCCCCCCGACAGCCGCCGCAGTCTGGGGCTCGGCTGTCGCAGGGCTGGTCGACATCAGTCTCCGCGGCCTTCGAGCAGGAAGCCTGCGCTCAGAAGGTCGGCTCCCTCCGGGGGCCGATGTCGGGCTGATGCTTCGCTCGATGCACGGAGGATTCAGCAGGGATCCTGCTGTCGTTCACGCGGGTCAGGTGGTGCGTGCGTCCATGTGCGTCGACACCTCGTTCCCCGCCGGAGCTGACCTGGAAGTCGCGTTGGGCCAGCTTCGAGGCATCCTGAAGTAGGCATCCTGAAGTCAAGGGCTCAGTGTAGCGACCCTGCCCAGGCATTGCATCTGGTGCTTGCTAGGATCTGTGCCAGCGTGCGGTCGGCCCGCTGGCGAGGTTGTCGATTTAGAATTCTTTTCCCCAGGTCGAGTGGTGGCTGCTGCGAGAGGATTGCCGTTGCTGCTGATGCTCTGGTGCCTGACGGTAGGTATCAGTGCTGACGCTCCGGGCTGGGTTGGAAGCCTCTCGGGAGCGTCTGCGCCGAGGCGCGGGATCTCTCCAGGACACGTGCAAGATGTGCGGCTGTGTTGGCATTCTTTTCCATCGAGGTTTCGACTGTCTGTGCTCGGCGAGCCTTATGCGCGCGGTCGTGCCCAGTCAGTGGGTGAGGCCGTGCGGCGAGTGCTTAAGCTGGGTGCTGACGAGGCTGGGCGTTCTTGCGCGTTGCCTTGCCCCCTCCCCCGAAAAGTGTTTCGACCGACCTGGGGCTCGCGAGGGGCCCTGGGTGGTTTGGGGAGGGCCCATCCTCGTGGGCGGCTCAGCTTTTAGCACCGAGCGCGGATCCTGCGAGCGAGCTGAATAGGCGGCCGCGCAGGTGAATCAGGCAGGCAACTTTGTGGCCTCCATTCGATGGGCGGTTCCGAGATGTTGGGGGCCTGAGCAGTGGGCAGATGGCGGATGTTATTGCACGTTTCACAGGCTGGCTCGGTTTCCAGATCCCCCGTCTGCAGGGCGTTGAGGAGCGCCGCTCGAAGTGTGCTCAGGGTTGGTGAGATGTGTCATACATTCTGTGGTGGGGCAAGGTTGGCACTCCCGCTTCCGCCGTGAAGGCTAGCGGCTAGCGCCCATCAGAGCACCCAGGATCCAACCTCTACAAGGACCTTTCTGGGAATTTCGGGGAACAGTCTCGCGGACTGCTGGGCAGAGGCTTGGGCCCAACTCCAGGATGCCCCCGAAGGGCAGGATGTTTTCGTGTAGGTCTGTGAGCGACGGTGAGGATTCCGCTCCGTGGCAAGGCGAGCTCCACGAGTTGCTTCACCAGGCTGGTTTTTTCAGGGCGCGGATGGCGTCGGAGGCGCGGTCGATGCGTGGAGCTCTCTGACGCTGGGAGCGAGTGCGAGCTCCACCCGTGCCTCCTCAAGAGCACGAGATCGCGCGGGAGTGATCGACCAGGAACCGCCAACTTCGTTCTGCACGGGGCGGTGCCAGCGTGCAGAACAGCTTCAGGCCCAGGTCGGACCCTGCCTCGATCAGGAGGGGAGGCTTCGGCGGGGGCTGCGCCCCACAGCCTCGGGCCGGCTGCCGCTCCGTGGTCGGCAGTCCGCGCTCTGTGGGTGGCGAGGGTCCGAGTTTCTTTTTGGTGCGGGGTCGGATCGCGTGGAGGCTTCCTGCGGGCTCGAAGTCCCGGAGCCGCTGGACACGCACAGGGCCGCGGCATTCTAGCCTCCAGGGTCCGTGGGAAGCGGCAGGCTGTGGTGACGGTCGGGGCCGAGAAGGGAGGCCAGTCTTCAATAGTGGCAGCAGGCCCACGGGGAGCTGGAGCTCCCCCATGAAGTGCACGTCAGTTTCGCGGGGCGCGAAGGAGCTTGCCCAGTTTCCTCATGCAGCCTTATGCTGCCTACTCCTCCTCCTCCTCCTCCTGCTGCTGCTGCTGCTTCTCTTCTTCCTTCTCCTCCTTTTCCTCCTCCTCCTTTCCCTTCTTTCCCTTCTTTCCCTCCTTTCCCCCTTTCCCTCGTCTCTCTCTTTCTCTCTCTCTCCCTCCCGCCCTCCCTCGCTCCTCTCCTTCCTTCTCCTTTTCCTCCTCCTCCTCCTCCTCCTCCTTTCCTTCCTTTCTCTCGTCTCGTCTCTCTCTCTCTCTCTTTCTTCTCTCTCTCTATCTCTCTTTTTTGTGTCTCTCTCTCTCTTTTTTTTTTTTTTTTTCTCTCTCTCTCTCTCTCTCCCTCTCTTTGCTGCCCGTGCGCCCGTGCATCGCCTGCAGCAAGCAGCGCGCGGCCGGGCGCCAGAGGCGTCGGGGACGCTAGCATGGGGGTTGCCGTGTGTGCCTTGTCCCCCTCCATGTTCGGATTCGTTGCGTGCTTAAGTGGAGTCGTGTGGTGTTGTGCGGCTAATATCGGAGCCGCTGCCTGTGTGTTGCCGTGTTGTGTTTTGTGGCCCTTGGATTTTCTTTTGCACGGTGTGGTGCCCGAGCGTGTGCCCGGATGCGGGCAGCAGCTTTGTGGATCCTGCCGGCTGGGCTCAGGTTTTCTCAGCTGGAATCTCTGCTCAATGTTGTTCGGCGGCGTGCGCAAGAGGGTGCAGGGTCAGGGAGGAAGTGGAAGAAGAAACGACAACATCAGCATAGACTTTCGACGCTCCTCGCAGATTTCTTGGCTCTGCGCTGGGGACCCGCCCGCGCGCCAGGGATGGGGCTCGGCGCAGGTCCAAGAAGTCCTCACGGAGCCTGGGCATTACCCTTTAGGAGGCGGGGGGCGGGGGGAGGGAGAGGAGTGGGAGGAGGGGAAGGAGGAGGAGCAGGAGGAGGAGCAGGAGGAGGAGGAGGCGGAGGAGGAGAGAGAAGAGGAGGAGGAGGAGGAGGAGGAGGAGGAAGAGGAAGAGGAGGAGGAGGAGGAGATGGACGAGGAGGAAGAGGAGGAGGAGGAGGCGGAGGAGAGGGAGAGGAGGAGGAGGCGGAGGAGAAAGAAAAGGGAGGAGGAGGAGGAGAGGAGGAGGAGGAGAGGAGAGGAAGAGGAGGAGGAGGAGGAGGAGGAGGAGGAGGAGAGGAGGGAGAGGGAGGAGGCGGAGGAGAGGAGGAGGAGGCGGAGGAGGAGGAAGACGAGGAGGAGGAAGAGGAGGAGGCGGAGGAGGAAGAGGATGAGGAGGCGGATGAGGATGAGGATGAGGATGATGATGAGGAAGAGGACGATGATGATGATGATCATGATGATAATGATGACGATAATGATGATGCTGATGCAGATGCTGCTGCTGCTGCTGATGATGATGATGATGCTGGCTGATGCTGCTGCTGATGATGCTGCTGCTGATGATGCTGCTGCTGCTGATGATGCTGATGACTATGATGATGCTGCTGCTGCTGCTGCTGCTGATGATGATGATGATGATGATGATGATGATGATGATGATGATGCCGATGATGCGAGGAGGAGGAGGAGGAGGAGGAGGAGGAGGAGGAGGAAGAGGAGGAGGCGAAGGAGAAGGAGGAGACGCCGCGCGGCTTCTCTGGGAGGCCGCCTCGCTCGCCCTCCCCCCCCCGCCAGTGGCCTTCGGCTCCTCCCGCCAGCGTGCCTGTGCCTCTTGGACCGTCTTCGGGCAATGACAGAAACATTAAACTCGAAGGTCCGCGCGGACCTCCGAGTTTCTATGTTTATGCCATTGTTCGTTCCCTTACTCTTGGCCTGTCTTGGGGCCCTCCTGGCTCCGGAAGTCCACAAGCCGCACGCTCAGCCGCGCCAAACCCTGGGAGATTTGGCAATTTTGGCTCCGGGCCTCTTGAGGACTCCACAGGTCGGACGGGGCTAGGACGAGGAGAAATCCGTTCCAGAGCATTCCGGAAGGCTCTCAGAGCGTTCTGGAACGCTCAGGGAAGGCCGCGGCGCCCTAGTCATCCTCCAGAGCCGCCGGATCTCAGAGATTCTCGTTGTATCCTCACCCGAATTTTTGTTCCTCGTCCTGGCTTCGTCCCAACAGGAGTGAGGACTGAGGCTCAGGGGATTGGGCAAAGGACCCGAGGACGCCCACTCCGTGCCCAGCGGCACGGTGGCGGAGAAAGCACAGGCAGGGCGAGAACATCTTGGAGGTCTGCTGGAATCGCTTAGGAAGTCTGTCGGCAGCCTCTTTGGAGCGTTTGTCGAGGTCTCTGGGGGCCCCCCTTCCCCCCCTCATACTCGAGCCTCGCCGTGTGGTTTCTGGGTCATAGCTCGGGTCTCCAGCGGCCGTTCGGGACGATCGCGGCGCCCCCCAGGCCAGGAGCGCTCTCGGTGAGGCGCAGCTGCTGGAGCGCATCCCGAGGCACGAACGCCGCCGAGAGCCAGCGGAGACGCCCGAAAAAGCCTCGAGCCTCGAGCACCGGGTGGCCTCCTCCAGCAACAGAAAGCGCGCCGAGGCAACCTGCTCGGGCCGCACCAGCGGTCCATGCAGGCCGGCGCCCTGGCGGCGGTGAACAGCAGCCTGATGTGCACCCGCCGCGCGCTCGTGCTGCGGGCGGGCCTGGGAGCAGCTCAAGCGTTTTGCTGGCCGTGCGCGCGCTGGCCCGGCCACCAGCTCTCTCCCCCTCTTCCCTTGGAGCCGTCGGGGGGTCTTCGTAAAACGACGCGAAGATCGGGACAAAATCGGATCGGGATAAGTCGAAATCTCTGAGAATCGGCGGGTTTGGAGGATGTATTGGGCGCCGCGGCCGCTCCAGAGCGTTCCGGAACGCTCGGAGAGCGCTCCGGAACGCTCTGGAGCGATTTATCCCGATCCTACCTTGTTTTAAGAGGAGGAGGTAGGAGGAGGAGGAGGAGGAGGAGGAGGAGGAGGAGGAGGAGGAGGAGGAGAAGGATGAGGAGGAGGAGGAGGAGGAGGAGGAGAGGAGGAGGAGGAGGAGGAGGAGGAGGAGGAGGAGGAGGAGGAGGAGGAGGAGGAGGAGGAGGAGGAGGAGGAGGAGGAGGAGGAGGAGGAGGAGGAGGAGGAGGAGGAGGAGGAGGAGGAGGAGGAGGTGGCCGAGCATTGAGTTCGGCCAGCAGGACATCGGGGGCTGCTGCAGGTGCCCCTGGCCCCAGGGTGCCCCCCAGCTTCTCTTGCTCCCCTCTGGAGCCCCGACCGAGGGCCCCCCTGGGGCCTCGCAGGGGGGGTGCTCTGGAGGCCCTGGTGGCCTCTTCGGAGATCCTGGGGGGGCACCCGGGGCCGCCAGGGGGCACTGCTATAGCAGCTCCCGAACCAAAAGGGGGGGATGCTCGAGGCGACGGATTCGGGATGGTTTTTTCTGCCTCGTTCGGCCTCCGCGGATCGCCTTCGGGTGCCAGGGCCGTCAAAAAACGGATCCGGGGCGACCCGCTGCACCAGGTGGTCCACGGGAGGCGTCCGGGCACGGATTTTGATCCAAATTGGCCGCACCCAGACAGTTCAGACCCCTTGGCCCAAACAGTTCAGACCCCCTGGCCGCCTCCAACCCTCTTCCCTCTCCCCTCCCTCCCTCTCTCGCCCCCCCCTCCTCCTCCTTCTCCTCCTCCTTCTCCTCCTCCTCCTCCTCCTCCTCCTCCTCCTGCTCCTCCACAAGAAGCCCAACCCTGAGACCCCAGGGCGTCCACTGATTTCTGGTATGGAAGCGTCACGCTCTCCATGGCAGAACATCGAAAAACCCAAGAAACCCAGGGCACCCTGGAGGCAAGCGGGGTGCTTCTCGGCATGGGTCTCCACTATATCTGTGCCTTTCTATTTCCTCACCACTTCTTCCATTCAGGGAGCGAAGAACGGTCTAAAATAAACATTCCGCCGTCGGAGACACCTGCCCCTGGGCGGCTGGAAAGTTTATACCCCTACGGTGCCAACGTAAGGGTATAAACTCTCCAGCCGCCCTGGGACGGGCGCCCCCGGCAGCGAAGCAGTTTATTTTACACCGTTCTTCGCCCGTTAATCCATGCCAGCAGACGTCGACGGACATGCGATGTCTGTTTTTTTTCCCCCATGCGCGGTCCCCGGAGGTCCCGACGCCTCCCCCGGGGCCGACATTGCCCTCCCGAGCCGCTTTTTTTTGACGGCCCTCTGTTGCCTGGCGAGGGCCCTCTCAGGAGGCCGAGAACGGTCAGAAGCTGTCCGTTTTTTTTTTTTTTTTTTTTTTTGTTCTTCCCCCCCCCACAGCGCGAACACGTTTTTTTGGCTCATGTCAGCAGATGTTATTGAAGGCCTAGAAGTTGGCACCAACACCAACACAGGGAGTGGCCTTCGTATGGGGAAGAAGGTCCTAGATTTCGGTGTTGGTGGCGATATTTCGGTCACCTTGAAAGGCAGAATATTGCCACCATCACCGAGATCGGGATCGTCTTCCCTCGGTGGAGGCACACCGCCGATCTTGGTGTTGGTGTCAACCTCTAGGACTGCGATGTTAGTCGGCGCCACACCGACATACTGATACTCCCCTTCACGCGCGCGCCGAGATATCTTGTAGTATACGCGCCGTGGCGGGCGCTTTCTGGCCATGCCGCTCGGGAAACGATACATATTGCAGGCTAGTCATGCCACGTAGTCGGATCGGACGCACGCCTCCAAGGCGGACATCTAGTACTACAAGCCTCGTCAAACATATCCAGAACTGGAAGTTGGAATCCTGGAGCACGATGCTTTCGGGCACTTGTCAGAAAGCGCGTTCTTCGATGCTGAGAGGGTGGGGCCGGTTTTTGGGCAACACCGCGTCCGAGTCAACAGGCATCCGTCAGCATTGGAGTAGCGCTGACCCCACAATCACCGAATTCAGAAGTCTTCTGTTTATTTTTGACGAGGCTTGTAGTATGTCTTCGTGCGTCCCAGCCAATATTTTTGGATCCTGGGCTGCCGGAGCTCGCCGACAGGTGGCGGGCGGCAACCTCGCGGACAGCCGGCCGGTCCTGCAGATGCCGCCAACGGCGCCGGGGCAGGCCGCCAAGGAGGCCCGCGAGCCTGTGACACTGCGAAGCGGATGTCGCCGCCGCCGCCGCCGCCGCCGCCGCCCGTCGCCGCCCGTCGCTTGCCGCCGCCAGTCGCCGCCATTCGCCGACGCCGCGTCTCCGCCGCCCTCGTTGTCATTGCCGCCGTCGTGGCTGTCGCTGTCACCGCCGCCGCCATCGTGGCCGCCGTCGTCGCCGCCTATGCCGTCGTGGCCGTCGTCGTCGTCGCCGTCGTGGCCGTCGTCGTGGCCGTCGTCGTCGTCGTCGTCGTCGTCGTCGTCGTCGTCGTCGTCGTCGTCGTCGTCGTCGTCGTCGTCGTCGTCGCCCTCCTCGTCTTCTGTGCTTCCAGTGGACCCCGTCGTCGTTTCAAGGGGGGAGGAGGGAGCAGGATGAGGAGGATAAGGATAAGGAAGAGGCACAGCAGGACGAGGCGGAGGAACAAAAAGGAGGAGGAGGAGGAGGAGGAGGAGGAGGAGGAGGAGGAGGAGGAGGAGGAGGAGGAGGAGGAGGAGGAAGGAGGAGCAGGAGAGGAGCAGGAGGAGGAGGAGGAGGAGGAGGAGGAGGAGGAGGAGGAGGAGGAGGAGGAGGAGGAGGGAGCCAAGGTCCACGGGCCAGGTCGGCTCAAGGCGAGGGTCAGTGGATGCTGAAACCGACGTAGACGTGCCCCTCCCTGAGCTCGGACCCCCTCCCCTCCCAGCGGGGCAGGTCGGCTCGGGGAGAGGGGCTAGAGGCGAAACCGATGCAGACGATCCCCTTCCTGAGCTCAGGCCACCTCCCCTTCCATGGGAAGCCGCAGCAGACGAGTCTGGCGGCAACCCGAGATCCTCGGGGCAGGTCGGTCCGAGGAGAGGGGCAGTGGGCGAAACCGAAGTCGACGTTCCCCTCCCTGAGCTCAGACCACCGCCCCCTCCAGCGGGGCAGGTCGGCTCGAGGAGAAGGGGCAATCGGCGCAACTGACGAGGGCGATCCCCCTTCCTGTGCTCAGACCACTGCCCCTTCCGAGGGGATGCCGCAAGAGGAGGCACCCGCGGCGGCAGGCCGAGATCCCCAGTGTGGGTCGGCTCCATGTCGGGGGCAGTACAGTCAACGTGCATAGTAAGGACAAACGACTTCTTCAAGGGTGCCCTTGGGTCCTTGCCTGCCTCAGCCTCTGCGGCCCGTCCATAGCAATTTTCGCAGGCCCGAATGCTTCAACTTCGGCCTCCAAGGGTCTTGCGTCCTTACCACGCGTCCTTATCATACGTTTTCACTGTATGCGACATCGACGCAGACGGCCCCTCCCCCCGAGCTTTGGGACCCTTCCCTTCCAAGGGAGGCCGCAGTAGCCTCGCAGGCCTAGAGGGTACCACCAACACCAAGATCGGCGGCGTGCCTCCACCGAAGAACGACGATCCCGATCTCGGTGATGGTGGTAATATTCTGGCTTCCAAGGCGACCGAGACATTACCACCAACGCCGAAATCTGGGAGCATCTGCCCCATGTGGAGGCGACCCCCCCTGTGTTGGTGTTGGTGCCCATTTCCCGGCCTCCAGTAGTCGGCCCGGGCGGCAACCCGAGATCCTCAGGTCGGGCCCGCTCGAGGGGAGGGACGGGGACCACCGTGCGCGCAGGCAGGCACTCCATGATCGCTCGGACCTCGTCCTCGTCTCTAGGAGGGAGTCCTCTTCCGAATCTTTGGACAGGTACGAGGGGCGCGTCATCACCTGACTGGTCCAGGGCCGCCGCGCGTCGCAGGATAGAGCCATTCACGCTCCTCTCCGCCTTCTTGCGGCTGTGCTTGCTGTCGGGATCTGGTCCTCGCCTCGGACGGGGCGGGTGCGCAAAGCGACGAGGTCACTGCGAAGTTCTGATCTCGGACGCCAGGGTATTGACATGCAACTTGAGCCAATATGCCAGTGTGGCCCCCTCCGGCGTCGTTGGCGAACCATTCATGCCTGAGCCGCGACGCGAAATCGGAGACGAGAAAGAAATCCCGCATGTTGTAGGGCGGTCGGCTGCAAGTCCAAGTCGCGTTCCCTGGCGCGACCACAGTCCCACCCAACAACTCTGGCCGTTTGGACTGAGTGAGGACTTACGGCGAGACATTCCAATCTGCTGCGATGATCCAAGGCATCCTTGTGAGCCTCAAAAAGGCTCCGAGACTGGTCAGCTTCTCTGTATCGATACCGCTCAGCCTCGAACCTGGCGTGAGATACACTGATACAAAGATCATATCTAACCCTCCCGTGAGATCGATGGACGCTGGGGCGAAATCCCAAACATCGATGGGCGCCCCTCCTGACAACTGGCCCTCCAGGCGTCCCAAATCCTTCCTGCTGGCCTGGGGTCCTGCAGAGATCCCTGTGCGGGTGACTCTTGGTGTGCCTCCTAATGCCTGTGGCAACTCCGCCTGGCCGCTTGATGCCACCCCTGGCCCGGGGCGGGGAAGCAGTAGCCTTCCAACCGTGCTTCTCCATGCCATTGAGAATGGCGTGAGAGTCGCCGAAGTGGGTCCCGGCAACCCCCACCACATCCGCTCCTCCAACCCCGTCCTCGACGTCGTTGAGCACACCGGCTCCCCTGCGACGTGGTGTTGCGAGAGTAGAATGATGACTGTCTGTCAACTGATGCCTTCGAGGAGGAGGAGGAGGAGGAGGAGGAGGAGGAGGAGGAGGAGGAGGAGGATTCTGACCCCCCCTCCTCTGGTAGCCTGTCCCACCGTCGTCCCAAGGGGGGGGGGTGCCCCGAGCCCCCCCTTGAAGCTTTAAGCCCCTCTCGGAGCGCCGAGGGCCCCGCCGCTCGCCGCGGCCGACCCAGGGTGGAGAATGCTCTGGGGGCCCCCATTGGGCCCCTCTCGGGGTGCCGAGGGTCGGGAGACCCTCCATGGGGGGGGGGGATCCCCAGGGGATCCTATGGGATCCCCCCCCCCCCTGGGATCCTATCCCCCCATGGGAATCCCCCCCCCATGAAGAGTCTCCCCAGAGGGGGCGGCAGTGGGTGGCTAGGAAGAGAAGGGGCGAGGATCCCCAGCCGCGCGCCTGGCGGCTTCCCGCCCGAAAGCCTTCCGGGCCTCCTCGACCTTGCCCTTGCCTGCGGGCTGCTGGCCAGCCGAGCTGGAGCTCGAGGCCGAAGCCGCGGGGCCTGCTGACCGAGGTTCTGTACTGTCCTGGGCGGGAGGGGGTTTCTCGCCTGGGGCAACCCCGTCCTGGGTCTTCCTCTTCTCACCGAGTCGGAGACGTTGGGCCTCGTGCTCCTCCCTGGCCTCCGCACACTTGGTGGCCGCCTCAGAGGAGAGAGATTTTGCTGCGGACTGGAGCTGGGAGACCGAGGCCTCCCGTCCTTCTTCTGCTTGCTTGAGCTCCGCTTCTTCGATCTCCTCGTCACCCCCCAGGTGGAACACATCTCCGAAGTCAATGGTGAAACCGTCCAACGGACCATCCGAGAGCGCGCGGAGGGGCAACTTCGGCGTGGCTGCGGACTGCTCTGGGTCCTGCCGGGCCTCGGGCGCGCCGCCGCTGACCTCCGCCGCCAACGGATCACAGCCTGCCCGTAGCAGCTCAAATTTTTCTTTGAGCGTGCCGACCTACTCCCAATGTTTGTCGATGTCACGCTTCCACTTTAAAATATTGGTCCATAGCTTTGGTGAGCTTGCTTCCCTGCTGGTCGAGAGCGCGCCTGGACGCTGCCAGGCGCTGTTCGATGGGTGGCGGCGGAGGCAGCGCTCTGTTGAGTATCCTGAGCTGTTTGTCACAATGATCAACGAGCGATTTGTTCCCGATCTTGCTGGATGTCTCACGCAGGCTGGTGAGCTCGTCTTTTCCGAGTGAGGATACGTCGAACTGAGTACTGGACTGCGTATCCTCCGACTGTTTCTCCTACGCGGCAGGTGGTCCCCTGGCCCACCTGGAGTCGGGAGATGGCTGACTGCTGCCGTAGCTCGGGCCCCATTGACTTCCATTCACCACAGTGCTTGCACCAGCTTCGAGAGTTGGGGTGCTCCCCACACCCGCACGCAGTACAGGTCCACAAGGGGCCCGGCTATATAACCATGTTCTGCGCTTCCAACCCATATTCCCAGGAGCACTCTTGTCAGCAGGCGGGGGAGGCTGGCTGACCATCTTCCTGGGAGCGCGGAGGCGTGAAGACGCGGGACCGTCGTGACGCTGGCTCGGCCTCAGCAGCGCGGGTCTACACTGAGGTGGCCGGGGGGAGAAACGACTGAAAGCTGGCCGTGGACTAGCGAGATCCATTTTGTTTCCAGAGGGAACCAAAGCCTTGAGCCGAAATGGCTACGGAGGAGGAGGAGGAGGAGGAGGAGGAGGAGGAGGAGGAGGAGGATGGGGGAGGAGGGGCAGGAGGAGCAGGAGGAGCAGGAGGAGCAGGAGGAGGAGGGGGAGGAGGAGCAGGAGGAGAGGAGGGGTAGGAGGAGGAAGTGGAAGAAGGGGGAGGAGGGGGAGGACGAGGAGGAGGAGAAGGAGGAGGAGGATGGATGACCAGTTCGTTTTCATAGGGCCCCACAACAATTTATTTTCACTGCGGGAAGTGGCCCGTTGAAAGACATCCGTCTGAGCATCCTCAGTCGCTCCAAAACACCATCGCCGTGAGTGAGCTTTACGGTTGCGTCCTGACGATCCTGAATCGTACAGGACGGCCGTTCTTGACACTCAGCAGTTCTTCATCAGAGAAACTCTTTGCAAACCTTCAGACGCACATGCGCGGTGCTAAGGCGAGAGCCATATTTTCGAAACGGCCCGACCTCCAACCGAGACGCTGTTTCAAAGTTGTAAGCCGAATGTGCGCGGCGCCAGGGCGAGAGCCAAATTTCGAAAAGGAGCCGCCCTCCATCCGAGAATCTCTTGCACACTTTTAAGGCGAATGTGCGCAGCGCTAGGGGGTGAGCCACATTTTGACATGGAGCCGCCCTCTATCCGTGAAGCTCTTGCAGGCTTTTCAGAAGAAAGTGCGCGGTGCAACATCGAGAGCCACATGTTCAACACGGCCCGCCCGCCATCCGTGACACTTTTGCACACTTTGAAGACGAATGTGCACGGCGCTAAGGCGAGAGCCACATTTTGAAAACCACTAGCCCTCCATCCGTGAAGCTCTTGCAATCTATAAGACGGATGTGCACGGCGCTAGGGCGATAGCCACATTTTTTACAGAAGCCGCCTTCCATCCGCGAATCTCTTGCAAACTTTCAAGACGAATGTGCGCGGCGCTAAGGCGAGAGCCACATTTTGAAAAGGAGCTGTCCCTCACCAGTGAAAACTGTTGCAAATTATAAGCCTCTGGGTCGTAAGTGTTCATGAAGTCTCCAGTGAAACGCCAAGCTCGCTCTACCGACACGTCTCGCGGTGCGACAGGGAGGAGTTATTCATTAGGAAGAGGGATGCATGAGGATGTGGAGGAAGAGGAAGAGAAAGCAGGGGGAAGCAGAAGCATGAGGAGGAGGAGGAGGAAAAGGAGGAGGAGGAGGAGGAGGAGGAGGAGGAGGTGGAGGAGAGGAGGAGGAGGAGGAGGAGGAGGGGAGGAGGAGGAGGAGGAGGAGGAGGGGAGGAGGAGGAGGAGGAGGAGGAGGAGGAGGAGGAGGAGGAGGAGGAGGAGGAGGAGGAGGAGGAGGAGGAGGAGGAGCGGGAGGAGCAGGAGGAGAAAGACGAGGAGAGGCTCCGCGGAGTGTCCCGCCTCTGCGCGGCTGCTGCCCGGCTGGTCACGCACTGTTCGTCGTCGTCGTCGTCGCCGCCGTCGCCGCCGCCGTCGCGGTCGCCGTCGCCGACACCGCCGTCGCCGACACCGCCGTCGCCGACACCGCCGTCGCCGACACCGCCGTCGCCGTCGCCTTGGCCGGGGCCGTGGTTGTTGTCGTCGTACCTCGCGAGGGGAGGGATGAGGTATGTCTTGGGGGGGCGGGTGGTCACGAGGTATTCGTGCCCATTCGAGAGGATGTTATGGAGTTTGTCGGAGGCTTTCAGGGCCTTCTGGAGGTTTTTCGAGGTGGGGAGGGCGGAACGAGGGATGGAGGGTGGAGGAAGACATTGCTTTCAGGTGCACGGGCGCGCCGCACGGGCGCGCCGGATGGAGGAGGGAGAAGACATGGGAGGAGGAGGAGGAGGAGGAGGAGGAGGAAGATGAGGAGGAGAGGAGGAGGAGGAGGAGGAGGAGGAGGAGGAGGAGGAGGAGGAGTGGAGGAGGAGGAGGAGGAGGAGGAGGAGGAGGAGGAGCAGGAGCAGGAGGAGGAGGAGGAGGCGGAGGCGGAGGAGGAGGAGGAGGAGGAGGAGGAGAGGAAGGAGGAGGGAAGGGAGGAAGAGGAGGGAAGGAGGGAGAAGAGGAGGAGGAGGAGGAGGAGTGATGGATGATGATGATGATGTGATGATGATGATGATGATGATGATGATGATGATGATGATTATGATGATGATGATGATGATGATGATGATGATGATGATGATGATGATGATGATGATGATGATGATGATGATGATGATGAGGAGGAGGAGGAGGAGGAGGAGGAGGAGGAGGAGGAGGAGGAGGAGTAGAGGAAGGAGGAGGAGGAGGAGGAGGAGGAGGAGGAGGAGGAGGAGGAGCGTCATTTGTCTTGGGCGTTGAACGGGCTCCTTGTCTGCAGCACTACTGAGAGGTGATTAGTGGAGAGTCTGGCGGTGCAGGGTCTACTTGCGTGGATCGATTGGCAAGCGCTGTTCGCCAGCGAACGGTTGTCGAGGGCACAGTCGTCTCGACTCTGCCGTGTTGGAGCGCCTTTTGCGCAGAGTTCTTGCCCGGGCATGCTCAGGCGGTTCGTTTCTGTTCACTTACGGCAGCTGTAAAGTATGTAACCCAAGAGCCCAGGTCAAAAGCTTAGGCTCTCTGTGCAAACCTCCCACCAATACGGGGAGGAGAATCAGCAGAAACGTCTCGTCCGGTAAGCGAAGAGGGTGTAGTGGGCGAGACTGGCCACAATGCGCAAATCTACTAATGGACGAGTCTCCTGGGTCAGCAGAAGTGTGTCGTGCTGTTGGCCCTCGATTTGTAGAAATATGGCTGGCGATGCCAAAACAAAGAGGGGGATGTGCGCCGTGGTGACTAATGGAGGCCTCCGCTGAATGTAGTTGCTCGACCTCGGTGTTCGCCGACGTCGTATTCTCGATCTGATCTGATTTTCCTCCGTGCTCGGGAGATTTGGTGTCTTTCCGACGACCCGATTTGGATTTCTGGCTCCTCTTCCTCCTGCTCCTCCTGCTGCTCCTGCTTCTCCTCCTCCTCCTCCTCCTGATCCTCCCTCCTCTGCCTCCTCCTTCCCCTCTCCACCGCCATGAGTCATGGCGGGGGAGAGGCGAAGGAGGAGGGGGAGCGCGAGGGACGCAGGCCCTCGACCCCGAGGTCTTCCCCGGGACCGGCCCGGCCCTAATCCGAGCTGTTCTGGTTGACAGCCTTGGGGCCCTCGGAGGGCCCCGGGGGTCCCGAAGGCGGGGGAGCCTCCAGGGCGCCCCCCTCTGCAGGGCTCGCTCCCTGCCGCTGGTGTTCCACTCCCGCTCCCGCTCCTGCCCCGACTGCCGCCGCTGCGGGGCCCGCAGTTATGTGCGCCACCGCCGCCTCCTCCGCCCCCGCCCTCCTCGCCAGGAGAGAGAGGAAGAAGGGGGCGGGGAGGCGGGGTGGGGGGATTGGCGGCCGTCTTCGTCCTGGGCGCCCGCGGCTCCTGCGCCCTGCTCCCTGCCCCTGGCCTCTCCTTCTTGAGCAGGCCGCTGGGGGAGGAAGAAGGGGGCGGGGAGGCGGGGTGGGGGGAGTTGCGGGGTGGTGGCGGTCTTCGTCCTGGGCGCCCGCGGCTCCTGCGCCCTGCTCCCTGCCCCTGGCCCCTTCTTCTCGTGCAGGCCGCTGGAGAGCGAGCGCGGGAGGCGCCGGCTCCCGTTTTTTGTTTTTTGTTTTTTGTTTTAACTGCTGCCGCTCCTGACCCCGCTCTTGCTGCTCCCGCTTTTGTGCCTTCTGCCGTCGTCGTCGTCGTCGTCGTCGTCGTCGTCGTCGTCGTCGTCGTCGTCGTCGTCGTCGTCGGTCGTCGGTCGTCGGTCGTCGTCGGCGACGACGACGTCGCTCCTCCTTCTGCACCTTCTTCCTCGTCGTCGTCGTCGTCGTCGTCGTCGTCGTCGTCGTCGTCGTCGGTGGTCGCTCCTCCTTCTGCCATTCCTTCCTTCTGCTCCTCCTGTTCCGGCAGTCTCCAGGGGTCCGATGCAGAGACCTCGGGATTTCCCCACGGGTTTCCGGAGGCCCTGCAAAGGAACCGAAAGAGGCTCCAACACTTCGACCCTCGATTCTCCGTAGATCCTCCGATCCCTCGATCCTTCGATCCTTAGATCCTTCGACCCCCAGACCTCGATCCTTCGATCCTTCGATCCTTCGATCCTTCGATCCACCGATTCCTCGATCCTTCGACCCCCAGGCCTCGGACCTCCCAGCCGTGGTCGTCATGGCCAACGGCACGCAGGTGCCGGGGGTGGCGCAGTTCGGGAGGGAAGCGCCGAGGATCCAGGGCAGCAACGCGAGCCGCGCCCGCGGGCACAACAGGGGCGAGGAGGGACAAGTGAGGAGGGAAGTGGGAAAAAGGAGGAGGGAGGAGGGAGGAGGGAAACGGGGGGAGGGAAGTGGGAGGGAGGAACAATTGGAGGAGGAGGAGGAGGAGGAG